GAGAATGGACACAAGTCACGAGCACAGGGCCCGACACATAGTGCTTGTGGTGTTAGCTGTCATTAATATTGACATGTGTGTGGCTCATGTAGCCCTCACAACAGTTCAGGAGCTAAGTGTTAGTATCTTCTGTTCACTCAATCAAACAGCTGAGGCTCAGAGGGTAAATCACTTGGCTAAGGTCACAGTAAGGAAGCCACAGGGCTGGTTTCATAAAACTAGAAAGCCCAGATTTTTGTTCTCTTTACTTTTTAGGTAAGCTGGTAAATGGCCCAGGTTGAGGCAATATGACAGTTACTTTAAATGCACCTTATGCCATAACCCTCATCAGTCTTTTTTCTTCTGATTGCCCCCCATGACCTCACCTCCTCACCTGGAGACGGTGTAAGGTGTAGGGTCCTCTGTGACCCCAAGCATAGCCGGTGGAAGCATCTGTGGGGACCTGCAGGTTCACGAGGTGGCCAGGGCTTATGAAATGTCCATTCTGATTTGCAAGTAGGTCTGACACGGACATGCTTCCAGCTGGCTGTGATTTCGATAAAAACCCCTCCTCCTTGGTGCCAATTAGCAGACATGAAATGTCCCTGGCACACTTTGTAATTCAGAAAATGTATGTGCTGATTAGTTAATCTCCTGCTGGACACACCATTATGACCAAGGGGCTGCAGGCCAGCATCCTGCCCTCGCCCCATCTCCATTTAAAGGCACAGAATGTTTTCCTCCTGAGTAGAAATCACTGTCCCCTCATTCATTTATTTCCATCCAACAAATATTGAATGGGCACCTACCATGTGCAGTTTTGTTCCATACAGTTGGGATATGGCAGTGAATGGTGCAAGGAAAGTCCCTGCCTTCGCGAAGGGGAGTGAATGATAAACAACTAAATACACAGGACTGCTTCCATAGCACAGATGTTATGAAGGACACAAAATGATCTGCCAAAGAACAGCTGAGAGGGACAAGCTACATTAGGTAGAGTGGCCAGGAAAGATTTCTCCAAGGAGGTGACATGGGAGCTGAGACTGAAGGCTAAGAAGGATCCAGACACACAGTGTGGCAACAAATGTGCGTCGAACCAACAATGGAAGAATAGATACTTCCTCTTTGTTCCTGCCAAGAAGGACCCTCACAGGAAGGTTGAACTCAGTGAGATGCCACAAGCGTAGAGGCAAGTGCCTGGCCTCTCTCAAGCCCTGTGCCCCATCTCGAAGACAGGGTGCTGGGCCTATACGCTACATTCCGGGACTACAGGATTAGAACACCTTCCAAGGGGCCTCGCACTCGCAGCTCTTTAAGCAATGACCACACAGCAAGCAAAAGCAATCTGTCATTTTTTTTAGAAGCAGTCAGAATGGCTGTTTGGAATTGTGTAGTCCAGGCCTGTCATCTGCTTTGTTACCATTAGGACATTCTGACTGAATTTCCACGTCCACTTACTCTGAAAATATTGCTCTGTTATGAGTGTCCCTCCCCATTGCCACCACCTCCTTCCTCTGCTCCTCCCCCATTCCAACCCCAGTCTTGCTCAGACAGAGCAGTTAAGAGCTCAGGCTATACTTCCAAATATGGGAGACAATCCATCACCCACAACCCCGCAGAGAGAGAAAGAGAGAGAGAGAGAGAGAAAAGAACCATTGGTTCAGTTGTGATCATGTGATGTTTGGCATCACGTTCTACTCCTATTACAAGACATACCTCGTTTATCAAATTAAAATTTATTAGAAAGGTTTGCTTGTCTTGCAGAACACTCGCGGAACAAGTTACACGCAATCCAGGGTTTTACTGTACATTCTTTGCATTAAAGGACTCTCCTTACGACCCACTTAAGAACGCACTATGGTTCACTGACTATGAGATCACATCCTGGATCCAGGCTGTATGGGTTTAAACTTTAGCCCCACCACTTACCATCTAGGTATGTTAAATGAGTGAAGTTCCTTAACTTCTGTACCTGAATTTCCTCCTCAATAAAAGGAGGATCACACAGTGAAAAACAAACAAACAAGCCCAGGCTATAGAACTGGAACACTTGAGTCGTATCTCAGGTGTGACTGTGTGACTTTGGGCAAGTGGCTTCACTTCTCAGAGTCTTAATTTTCTCATCTATATGATGGAGGCCATCTCACCAACAACCAGATAAAGTAAACACTAAGCTATTATTATCCTTATTTTTAGAAAGTGTGTAAAACCCTAACAACCCGGCTTAGAGAATGGAGATTTAAGTCTTTAAGGCAAAAGAAACTCAAGCAATGAGCGGAGCAAGGAGCCAGTTTAATGATCTGTATCCACCTGTGGCGTTTTCCGTTCTTTGGGATAAGAAGCAGCATCACAATCAACAGCATTCAAGAGGGCCCTTAATATATAATACTTTGGTGCCAATAATCACAGAACACCTGCTACGTGCCAGCCACTGTTCTATGTGCTTTACTTACATTTACCGATTTAAACATCCCACTACGACCGTACAAAGTAAGCACTATTACTATCCCCATTTTACAGATAAAGAAACTAAGACCTAGAGACAATAAATAACTTCCACAGGGCCACACAGCTAGGAATCTGTGGGGTTCAGGAATAAACCCAGGCAGCCTGACTCCAGTCTCTTCTGCTTACAGCTTGCCACCTCATTTAAGATGAAACCCAAAAGCCTTCCTAAAGACATCAGGGTTTTCTACTTCAAATAGACTTGTCTTCTGAGTGGTCAGTCCACAAAGAATTATTACCTGCCTAATCCTGAAACCCCAGGCCTGTAGACACAGCACTAATAAGAGCTCCCACCCAGTGCTACACAACGCCAGCCATAGGTACATTCACACCTCCTACCACTTGATGGGATTTTCGGGTGCCTGTTAAAATGTCAGTGGATCTTAGAGTTGAAGTCCTTTCCACATCATTTAGCACAACCTGGAAGGTCAGATCTACATGGCAGTCAGCCTTCCCTTGGCAGTTACCTTTCTCAGCCCGGGAGGGCCCCGCACTCCCTCTTGGAAATGCTACGTCACAATAAATGTACTCAAAAGAGCAGACAAACCACCACTACTCCCTTGAGACCCAGATGCAGTTATCTCAAATAACCTTACCTTCAGTCTCCGAGGGACAGACTCCGGCTGCTGACTCTGGGCCGATCTGCAGATGAGAGCGTCCATTTCCAGACCCAAGTGATATTAACGCATCTCCAAAGGCATGTGCCCAGCACTAGCGCTGGCACCAATTTAGGCAGAGGGAAGACAAGCAGGATATATCCAACACAGGTGCCTTCTCTTTTAAGGGCTAACAGTCATGAAGAGCAGGATAAAACTGCCTATGTTTGGTGGTATAGAGTGAAGAGAGCCTAATTCGAAATCCGGGGGAATTTACTGGTAGGGTGGGGAGCAGAAAGCATCCTAGTAATCGCAGACTTTGTGTTCATGCCTACTTCTCCTGCTGAACGGAAACAGACACCTGGAGACTCCCACAGCTCCTACTTGCTGTTGTGCTGAACGGAGCACGTCAGCAAACGAGGAAGCGCCACATTCCTTTTTGCAGGCCCTGAGAGCTCAGAGCAGCTCGGTGTTGAGCCCAAGCATGACTGCCTGCTGGAAAGCTCAGGGTTCTTCAGTGCTGACTCTGTAGCGATGGATCAGAACTCTACCTTTGGAGAGTGAGGGTTTGGGGAAGACTCCCCAAAATCAGTGTTTCCCATAAATCCCTCGCAAGATCAGTCCCACACCCTCCTGCAAAGAATGAGGCTGGGATCATCATGAAAGTTTCCCCAAAGAGAAAACTGGTCTGTTAAATCAGCTCGAGTCCTCAAAGAGGAAAGAAATCAGGCCCCAGATGAAAGAAATTGGCCAAGAGATGGAAAAGTCTCTCTCCTGCTCCTTTCCTATTTTACTGGATTTTCATAGGAACTCACTCACAGACAAAGGGTGAGGCTGTCTTTCAGAAGGCAAGTCTTTCTAAATGTTATTGGACCAATTTCCCATCATCCTTTTGGCTTTCTCCTGCCCCCTTCAGCAGGATCAGCTGGAACTTCATCTGCAGCCAGGAGGGCCAGGAGCCAGTTCCTGGGATGAGCATTCAAACCACCTGCACAGGGGCAGCCCGGGTTGTTGCCCAGGTGCCCCACATTTCTCTTCGCTTTCTTTTAACCTGGAGCAGTTCTTCAAGATTCACCACCTTCTGGTGCTCCTGGGTGGTTCAGTGAGCTGAGCGTCTTGACTCTTGATTTCAGCTCAGGTCGTTATCTCATAGTTTGTGGGATCAAGCCCCACCTCAGGCTCCATGCTAGCAGCACAGAAGCTGCTTGGGATTCTGTCTCCCCCTCTCTCTGTCCATCCCTCACTCATGCTCTCTGTCTCTCTAAATAAATGAACTTAAGAAAAATTCACTGCCTTTCATGCCCTTGGCATTTTTAAGAATAGAGGCCTTTTATTCTATAGAATCTCTCAGAGTTGGGGTTTGTCTGATATTCCTCCATCATTAGACTCAGATTATTCATTTTTGTCAGTAACAAAATAATCCTCCGCATCAGATAGAAATGCCTGAGTCCATGCTATGTAAATATAAGGAAAAGCTCTTCCTTACAGTAGAGTGCCAACTACTAAATGTAGAAGGAATTATGGAATTTTTTTTAAAAATTACCGTTTGGCAACCACCACACTAATAATTGGTTCAGGTAAGAAACATCAACAGGTATTAAAATCAGTGGATGAAAGCTTGAAGAACTCAGAGTATTTCCTCACATGATACTTACTAATCACAGAGGGGAAAAGAGCAACTTCATAGTGGAGAAACCTGGTAGAGAACCACTGTAACCAAAAGACCCCAGTTAGCATCTCCAGTAGTGGGGAAATAGACACCATGTACCTCCCAATACGATGAACTGAAGACACAGCACCTCTTCTGGGAAATGACAAGACAGATTTCTGTCCAAAAGGCTTAAGAATTTTAAAGAACTGTCATTCTCTCCAGGGTCCATTCACACACAATACATTCTGAAATCTTTTTCACCTTCACAGACCCGGTCTTGGTCATCTTCCCAGGAGGAGCTAGCAACAACCGGGATGCTGAAGAGCACAAATGATCTGCTGGGATGGAAACTGCTCAGTGGAGAGTTTGTGGACCACATGATATTCCTTGGACATCGGGGATGGTACCGGAATACCAACAGGCTGGCCTCTGGGACAGAAGGGCAATAGGAGAAAGAACAAATCTGTCTTCATCCAGAGTATCCGTGGATGGTGAGCCAGGATGGGGAACAGCACATGAGCCATGTTCTGTTCCAGGTTACAGCAGACTCCCACCTCTCCTGGTAGTCTGTTCTGTTGTCAAAGCCAGGCTTTGTCTTGCCAGTTTCTCACACCTTGGCACCTCACTGACAAATGAGAAGACTAGACTTCAGATTCCTTCCAACTCTGTGACTGGCCAGTCTGTGCAGCTCACATTTGGAGTAGTGCAGGTAGGGGATGGTATCACATTCTCCTCTTGGATATTCAAGCCAGAGAAGCCAATGCTTCTTCACAACACCCCTAGCCTTCACCCCCTCTCCTGACTCCCACCAAGCTTCCTATGTCCATCCACCACATCTTTGTTCTTTTCCATTCCAATTCCATGCTGTCTTTTCCCCCTGACACTCTCTGGTCCAGAGGATTTCTGTTCCAACATACTGATCAAAGAAATAAGGAACTGGTACATAAGGAATCTCAGAAGAAAATGATGATGTAATAATAGAGATACCACAGATTACAGTGCTCACAGTGAGGCTATTTCAAGTCTAAAGATACAAAAATCAATTATAACCATTCATTCTTTTCTGTTCAGAGTAAGTCATCCTAAAGGGCAAGTCACTAGAAGATCTTCTATGCCTGGTTTAAAAAAAAAACTCTAGGGGTGCCTGGGTGGCTCAGTCGGTTGGGCGGCTGACTTCGGCTCAGGTCATGATCTCGCGGTCCGTGAGTTCGAGCCCCGCATCGGGCTCTGTGCTGACAGCTCAGAGCCTGGAGCCTGTTTCAGATTCTGTGTCTCCCTCTCTCTGACCCTCCCCCGTTCATGCTCTGTCTCTCTCTCAAAAATAAATAAACGTTAAAATAAATAAATAAATAAATAAATAAATAAATAAATAACTCTAAAATACAAATTTTACATCCAATGTGGAGCTCGAACTCACAACCCTGAGGTCAAGAGTGGTATGGTCTGTCTACTGACTGCTCCAGCCAGGCACCCTGACCCTAAAATACAAATTTTAAATTGTCTCTGTTAACTGGAGAGAGACATGGCACAGATAAATGCAATTTGGAAATACTCTGAGACTCTGAGCTGTGCATTTTCATCTTCTCCTCTATCTTAAGACATCAGTGAGAATTTCTTCAAAGCACATTCTACCCTGATTTTTAAAGACAATGACAAGAGCACAGCAGTATTTGGATATGTTGGTTGTTTTAGAGTTCAGAATTATTATGTTGCACTGAAACAGCTGAGTCTTTCATCCAGCCCTGCTGGTAAGCAGGAGCAAGCATCAGCCAAACCGTGAGCAGAGTAAGGGATAGATTTTGTGGTTACAGAAATGGTTTCTTCTATGTGAAGGTGCCACATGGAGGACTCAACCTAGCACCCATCTCCTAATTAAATGAATAACTTGGACTTTTTACCACAACCTACTCTCAGCCCTGGTGGAAAGTGGTAATAAGCAACAACATGCCCTGCTGTGTTGGCAGTATCTGAGAGGTGGTGAGTCAGAAGGCAAGAAGTAGGGAGAGACCACAGAGAGAATAGTACAGTGATGACATTGCCTCTCACACATGGTCAGTGATGCTGTTGCCAATTGTCCATCATCCCTTGTCTCCTAACTGCTATGACTAAATGTTAGTTCCATTTCCTCTGGAATGAGTTCCGGTTTGGTTGGCCCCTCTTTAGCCTCAGCAGGAAAGAGTATAGAGATGCCGCCTTCATATTCTGGAACTGACTTGTTACTACCATGAGGCCTTATAGCCCATGTATAAATAGGTTTCAGTGACTTCATTTTCCAAGGAAAGTCATACAATGTCAGAGTTGGAAGGAATTTTACTTTCATAGATGATGTATGAAAAGGGAAGTATAGGCAAGCTGCCCATACGAAAGCAAGCTGCATAAACTGGGGGGTGGAGTGGGGTGGGGGGGCGGAGGTGAACACACAGCATTACTCCTAATCCCCAGAAACCATTAGACCACATCAGCTCATTAAAGCCTTGTGTTCAGGAGCCTCTCATTCCTGTTTTCTTCTCACATTTTCTTTCTTCTTCCTCTCACATTAACAGTGACAGGAAATCACCACTCCTAGTTTTTACACTGGTTGTTTTTTTAAGTCTCTGGGAACTTTCTGTGACTTATCAAGTGGAGGGTTTCATGAAAATTTAGCTCTTCCTCTGAACCTGCTTAGCCAATAGACCAAATACTTTTTTATTTTTATTTTTTTTTTATTTTTTTTAACGTTTATTTACTTTTGAGACAGAGAGAGACAGAGCATGAATGGTGGAGGGTCAGAGAGAGAGAGGGAGACACAGAATCGGAAAAGGCTCCAGGCTCTGAGCTGTCAGCACAGAGCCCGACGCGGGGCTCGAACTTACGAACTGTGAGATCATGACCTGAGCCGAAGTCGGACGCTTAACCGACTGAGCCACCCAGGCGCCCCGACCAAATACTTTTTTAAAACATCAAACAACAAATCTGATTTGTTCCCAGCCAAACCCAGAAGCTTAAGAAAAGTATCGCTGCCCTCCTGTCCCCCATTTCCTAAAGTTTTCATCTCTAGACTGTCGATCCCACCATATAGATTCCAAATAGTCATGGGCTGAAAAGCAGCATAAGGGATGGGGGAGGAGGTGAGGATGAATTAGGATGGTCAGAATGAAGTCAGCCCGGAAATTGACCCTCAAATAGTTTACTAACCACAGAGTCTGCATTTCTTGTTTCTTATTACTATACATGAGTCCGGGGAGAGGGTATCGTTTAGGGGAAAAAGCAGAAAGAAAAAATGGGAGAAAAATTCACTCCTCCATGGAAATATAAGCAGAAAAGATATAGACTCTTGTGTCTCTTGGGTTTTTTTAGTATTTTTAATGGACCAAAAGAGAATCTTTATGTGGTAATACGTATGTGAATGATGTTTATAAAATAAGGTGTAATATCTTAGCTATTATGGGCTATTGTGTAAATAAATCTTAGATATATAAAATACATAATCTTATAAAAAATTATTTTATGGAGCAGTAGACACTTAAACTTCCAAAGTTTCATATCTTTGTTCCAAAAAATAGAAAGCTCCAATGCTGGCAGCTTATTTCCTTAGTATATTCCACTGTAAAAGCAACAAGTTTGGTGGGGTTTTATGTGTTTTCTAGTTCTATAATTTATAATAATCCGTATGGATTACTTTGAAATGTCTATTGCTTGTGTGCTGGTGTTGTTTGCCCATGCGGAGTCATCAGAGATCTGTTCCGCATCTTGGAAAACCAAAAGGAATTTTCTAGTGAGATGAAAAATACCTAGAACATGCCTTCACTGTTGGGAAAACCTCAGATTTATACCACTGGTAGCTTTTTGCAAGTCTGAGGAAATGGGAAGTTTAAAACCAAAGTTATTGTCTCTCACTTAAATATTGGGTGTTGGTTAACTTTTCTCCTGGGAAGGAAGCACATATTTTTGTTAAGTCCTTTTTTCTTGGACATGACATGTTCCGGAGGAAACCGGAAGACAGGGCCCTAAGCTGCCTTGCTTCAGGACGACTCTCCACCATCAGTTTCCAAAGAACTGTCCACATATTAATTCTGCTTTCTGTTCTGTGATTCGGTGGTAGATTCAATGACTTTCAGAGTTCAGAGTTTTGTTTGGGTTTGTGGCTCTAGTGAAGTGCTGAGTTTACTCTTTATCAGCCAGACTGAGGAGAAGCAGCAAAGGCAACAGGGGCCCCCTTGCTGGACAGGTCCGTTTGCACCTCCCACTGACACAGGAGATCCACACCAGAAACCAGGGCCTGCACTGCCGTCTGCTCTCTACGCAGGGAGAGGCCCATCATATGCCAAAGTGGGGACATTCCCCAACTCTCCGTCGTCAGAGATGCATATTGTTCCCAGCTGTAAGCCGGGAACATTGTGAAGCCCGATGTGTGTTTTAGCATGGAACAATAAAACCGGTTTAGTCGTCCCTCAGGTCTGGTTCTTTCAGTAGCTGGCTTGGAGGGGGAGCATTTTATCACAGATTAAACGTCAACATTGAGCATTTAATTTTCCCAAAGGGCATTGGTTCCTGGCAGCTGCTCTGGACATCCAAAAGGGAGGGCTGAGAGGAGAGGAAGGTATCACTTTGTCAGACGGCCACTGCTTAGGATGGGTGGGGATGGCCCCCGCGACCTCTCAGTGCTCGCCAGGCCAGCTCATCTCTGTAGAGCAAACTTCCAGTTTGTACAACCACGTGGGCCCAGGAAGGCCTCTTGGCCAGAAACCATCTCTGCTCGAGTCAGAATGCAGAGGTCAAGAGCACAGCCTCAAGAACCTAAACTGCCAGTCACCTAGCAGCTATGTGGCCTTGGGCAAGTCACTTAACCTCTCTGTGGCTCAGCTTCCTTTTCTGGAGAATGGAGCTACAATAGCATCTTCTTGAGGGACGTATGGTTTAAATGCCTTAAAACGTGTAGAGGACTCTGAACATACACAAGTAGTCAATAAAATGTGCCTTACCACCTTCAAAATGTTTGCCACATCCACCAACCATCCAGATTATTATTTACTTAATATTATTTTAATGGATTCAATTTTAATCTAAAATTTAATTGAAAAGATAATTGTAGATCTCAACTGTAAATGGAAAACCAGCATAATTTGCTGTGAATCTGAAGTTGCATCTAAACAGGTGCAACTGCTTATGTTTAAGGAGTCCTTGCGCCTTGCCAGGCACCACGCTAAGAGTCTTGACTTGTTAGAATCCTCACAGCCTTGTGAGGTCAGCATTACCATTTTACCACTGAGGCACGGACATTGTGCCCATCGTGACACAATTAGCAAATGCAGGAGGTAGTCTGGACTTCAGAACCTGGACTTCCCAGCCCTGTTCCATGCTGCTGCCCTAACAGAAGCAGGAGTGTGCCATTCATGTGGCAGACAGCTGGTGTGGCAGCTTCCCGGGACCGCAGTAACAAAGGGCCACAAACAGGGTAGCTCAGAACAACTGAAACTTGCTCTGTCCAGGTTGTGGAGGCTAGAAGTCCAAAATCAAGGTGTGGGCAGGGAGCTCTAGGGGAGGATCCTGTCTTGCTTCTTCTCGCTGCCAGTCGCCCACAGCGCTCCATGGCTTGTGGCCGCATCTCTTCAATCTCTTCCGCCGCCTTCAGCTCTGCAGAAGCTTCCCTCTGTGCATCTATGTTTGCGTGTCTCCTCCTCTTCTTGTGAGGACAGCAGTCATACTGGAGTAGGGCCCACCCTAATGACGTCAACTTAACTTAATTACATCTCCAAGACCCTATTTCCAAATAAGGTTTCATTCACAGATCCCAGGAATTAGGACTTGAACAGAACTTTTTTTTTTTTTTTTAACCCAAGCGAGTTAACATATAGGTATATTAATAATGATTTCAGGAGAATTTAGTGGTTCATCACTTACATAGAACACCCAGTGCCTGTCCCAACAAGTGTCCTCCTTAATGCCCATCACCCATTTAGCCCATCCCCTCATCCACCTCCCCTCCAGCAACCTTCAGTTTATTCTTCTGTATTTAAGAGTCTCTTATGGTTTGCCTCCCTCTGTTTTTACCTTATTTTTCCTTCCCTTTTCTATCTATTGAGTTTCTCAAATATCACATATGAGTAAAATCAAACACATCTTTTTGGGGGGGGGGTGCGGATGGGGCAGACACAATTCAGTTGCCCACCTAAAACTTCAAGCCTGAGGCCGAAGATCTGCCGGTGGTGGGGAGGCGTTCAAGAGCAGCAGCAACCTGAGACGGTCTCCTTTGCAACCGTGGGGACTGAAGGGGTCAGGACAAGGGAGAGACAATGCTTCTCTGCTTTAGTGACAACGTCCAGTCCAGGTGCTAAGATTAACCATCTCCTGCCCCACTGCTGGCGCTCTGGGAACAGGGGGTGAGCAAAAGAAAGCTTCCCGTGAAAGGATGGTAGAAGGAAGACCAGGGGGAAATGCCACCTTCTCAAACTCCAGGCGGGTGTGGAAGGCACAGACTCACCTCTGGAAGTTGCCTTATGTGGCGAGGCTGGAAGAGCAAAT